GGTGATCCAAAGAACACGATGCTTACCGGGCACTTCCGAAATGCCCAGCATCTCCCCATGTTTAACAGTCTGGCTCTGTTGCGTGAAGACCTGACTGGAGAATTTCTTTAACTTGGGGCAAAGATTGCATTTGCCTCTGTGTCCCCAGAGCACCCAGCACAACATAGGTTTTAATTCCTGTCCATATGAATTAGCTGTTACAGCTGATACTCAGGATAACTTAGTGGAAAAGCTCCTACTGAGTTAAGATCACCTCTGAAAACCACAGCCTTGCACCTTACATGGTCTTTATCATCTCCTTATCAAAATGAACATTGCTAACATGTAAACACACCAGGCATGGAAGAAAGACAAGCATACTGTAAGTGCTTGACAAAGAATCTAAATGCCCTTCTTGTTTTTAGAGAGCAGAAAGCATCATGTGGTTGTCTCTGCAGACGAAATGTCCTAGAAGATTTCCCAAGGCAGCAAGCTGGGGACACTACCGAAAGCAGCGCTTTGGGACACTCCACATGCACTTGTGGTCTACAAGGAGGACTGCGCTTGGGAATCCGAGCTGATGAACAAGGAGCACTTCTGTGCTGCCTGTCAGGACAGGGAACGTGCCAAAGGACAACCCAGGCTTCAGCACACAACCTTCTCACCCACAGGCAAAGAGAGGTCCCAGCTGAGCCATAAATCTTTAGCCTGCTTTTTACATCCCGGGTCACTCCAGTGCCCTTTGTGTTCAGTCCTTTCTCTTCTGTTTCTCAAAGCGGCACTGTATTACCCTGGGAAATCCTGTGGCCTTCCTCTCATATCCATACTTAGCATTTTCAGTTGTTTCCAAGTCTGTCTCAACATGGTAGATGTCCATTCTCACACTCTGAAACAGTTTGGATTATTTAAGGAAAAAAAAAAAAAAAGACAACCAAACAAAACAAACCCAAAACCCAACAACCACCAAACCCCACAAACACTACTCCAATTACAACAATTCGGAATACAACACAACAGTCGAGGAAACACATTCCTTTCCTCTGGCAGATGCAGTAACAACTCCCTTTCTGGTGGTTCAGAAACGGAGCCAGTACACTTTATTGGACTTTGCTACCACACACCAAGAATGAGCAGTCAGTAAGGTGGCAGCCAACATAGAAAACAGCTTTTTAATCCACCAGCAACACCAGCAGCTCACCTCCCAGTAGCCTCATGGAAAAGCCTCTGCCCTTCTCTTTATCCTCCCAGCTGAGCTCCGCACCGGAGACGTTCCTCGCCAAAAGCAACAACCCTACTTAAATAGCAAGAGCAAAGGTGGCCAGGAACACCTCAGGGTCAGGACCAGCTCCCATACAACTTGCTGACCTGTCCAGGAAACAAACTGTGCTCTTGTAATGAGCAGGATTAAGCGCCCCACGTTTAGCCCTTATTACCTGCTCCTGCGAGGCTCCAGTGCAGCCCCAAGCCATCAGGAAGCCTCAGCCCTCCCTAGATCATCCCTTTTCCAGCACCAAGCATCAAGAGGAGCCTCATAAAACCAAACCCTCTGAAAGCGTCCCAAATGCACCTTGCACATTTAACCCTCCAGCTTGCATTTGACACCTTGGGACCAAGGCAGCAGACAGCTGTAAATTCTTCCTCGTTCCGTCCCAGCTGCCATTTCCCCCTGACTCTGTGCCTAGTCCATTGGCACCCATCATCCTTGGGTACCACAGCAGTAAGGCGAGTTGGTGTTTCTCACCTCTGGACGGGTGAATACTCTCATAAATCCTAAGTGGGAGTCAGAAATGCCGCCCTGTTAAGATACAGGCTGCACCCAAGTGCAGATGTTTCCTCCTGCTGAGGGCAAAGCAACAGAAAAGCAGGCTAGCCAGAGGAGAAGGAGAGAAAAAAGCTAAGATCACGGGGAGAATCAAAGCTTTGCTGAAACTTATGGGGACTCTGCTGCTTGCTCCGGTGGGGCCCCAACTTCCCTCATAGAATTTGCTCAGCGTTTCTTCATCTTTTTTGTTGCGGGAGACCGAGGCAGGGCTGAGTCCGCTCAGGGGCCTCACGCTGGGCGGCTGGGCTGCCTCCTCTCCTCCGCCCCGTCGCTCCCGAACCATTTGGGCCGGCTGTTCATCAGCGGGGCC